CTAGGGTTGTATTTGGAGTCCTGGTGTAGCACAGTGGGTTAATGTGCTAGACTGCAAAGTTGGTTTGAATTGCAGGGTCGATGGTTCAAGCTCACCAGTCACTCCTTGGAAACCCTACACAGGGTCGCTATGGGTCAGAACCAACTCAACGGCACTTAATAACAACAACATCAGGGCTGTATTTAAAAACAAATATAGATACTATATTTTATTAGAAATGTCAAGGACAATCAGAGTAAATTTTACTGAAGCATGATTTTTACTCTAACATGGGATTTGGGGGAGCAAAATGCTTAGCAAAGTTCCACACCCCACCCCCCTTGTCAGCTATGAGTACTTTTCTACCACTGGCATGCTCTAAATAAAGATGAACACTTGTCATCTAAAGATGTGCTGGCCTTCCCAAATCGTAAGTCAAACTGCCCTACTCATATGTCAGAATTACAAAGGTGTCAGAATTAGTGGAAAATAGGAAATATAAACTATACTTAATAGAACAGATTATTCACTGAAAAAAGCTTCTTAGAAGGCATGCTTTAAAGAAAAACTAAAAATGATTTACAATTAGTGGTTTATTGTTCGTGAATGCTGGAAAACACCTTTTTTTCTCAAACAGGCATTGTTTCCATGACAATCACGTTTATAATGTTGGTTTGCTCAGTGTGACTTTTTTCATTCTGTACTGAAAACGGTATATTTTAGCTCAGCTTTTATCTAAGATTGAAATGAACAGAGCCCCAATTAATGACAAAGCATGAGTATTGCAAAGGCCAGTATCAGTAACTTTATAATTACCCAGATTTTTCCTTATCATCATGAGGACAGGCTATGATAGAAAGAAAAAAAAATTAAATGACTTTCTAAAAATAATGGCTAACGTTTATTGAATAAGTACATTAGACCATGGTAAGCATCTTCAATGCATTATCTCATTTCCAGTAAACCAAGTAGAATGGAGACTATAATTTTCCCCATTTTTTAGATCTTTGAGGAAACTAAAGCTTAAAGAGGTTATTTAAGCTGTAATACAAGCTCTGGAGTGGTGCAAAGGGCCAATGTGCTTGGCTGCTAACCCAAAGGTTGGAGGTTCAAATCCTCTAAAGAAAGAGTTGGTGATCTACTTCTGAAAAACACAGCCACGGAGTACCTTGTGGAGCACAGTTCTGAGCTGACACACACAGGGTCACCATGAGTCAGATTTGACTTGAAGGTAACTGGTTAAATACAAGTCCCAGGCATTCTGTCTCAGGGTGTGTCCTCTGCTGGGTCAGGTGAGAATTTGGGTGGAGCATAAACTACATATATATATATATATGTAGTTTATATATGTGTGTGTGTGTGTATATATTTTTTAGCATTTGTTGTAAATTGGGTGAAGGTTTACAGAGCAGCTCACAACAATTCTTATACATTGTGTTTTGTGTAATTGATTTCATGATTTCAGTCCCCACAATGTAACATCACTTATCCTACTTCCTCCCTGTATTTTCTGTGTCCATTCCTTCCCCCTTCTAAACTTGATCTTGGGGTAAATGCTCCCCTTTTGATTTCAAATGGAGTCCTGGTGTGGTGCTACAGGTTAATGCTCTGGGCTGGAAAGTCGATTTGAACTGCAAGGTCAGTGGTTCAAGCTCACCAGTGGCTCCTTGGAAACCCTATACAGGGATCACTATGAATCAACACTGACTCTATGGCACTTAACAACAATTATTCTATGGTGTTCGTGCCCCACTAGTGTTATTGTTCCTTTTGTAGATCTGTGAATTGTTTGATTAAAACTTGAGTCATGGGGTTTATTTCTAGACCTGATGGGGAGCTAAGGACCTTAGTCTCCATGTGATCCCAAAGAAACCCCTACTTTCTCAGTTTCCAAGGCCACCAGCCTTACCCTTAAGCCTGGTGAGAAGGTTCCTGGCTAGAAGACCACACTGATTTACCAAATCCAGCTAGTGGGAGCATGGTTTACTTCATTACCAATGTGGGTCTCTAAAACTAGGACTGAGTGTGATGATAGAAATTACTTTTCCAATTCAGTCTTACTCACAGTCAGAGGCATGCAGAATTTTTAAGATCGTCAGAAACTCTTTTTCTGTTATTTTTTTAACTAGCAAATTTTCTTCTGTCCTTTTTTTGAAAAAATAAAATTGCAAGAGACTTTCATAGTTTGGTCATATGGTGCAGTCTTGAAATGTAGGCACAAATGTGTTCACCAGGATGTTATTCCCAATAGTGGAATAACATAAATATCTATGATAAATGTATGCCTTGGAATAAGATGCCACAATTAAACAAGGGGTTGTTCACAGCCTGGTAAGTCAGTTGTTGTTAATTAGCGCCATTGAGTCAGTTCCAACTCATAATGACCCTGTATAGGGTTTCCAAGGAGTGGCTGGTGGGTTTGAACTGCCATCCTTGTGGCGCATTCTGACCTTGTGGTCAAGTGCATTATCCTGCGTCACCATACCAGGACTCCTGGTAAGTCCGTTAGGGAAGTAATTAGAAGCACAATCTAAATGGCCGTTCAGAAAGGAACGCTGCAGCCTTTTCCATTAATTTGTTCATTCATTCATGCAACAAATGGGCGAATTGTGATGGCTCTGTAGGATAAGCACTGACTGCAACCCACAAAATCTGTGGTTCTGAGCACAATTGATGAGGCTTTCTGCTCCCTCAAAGATTTACAGCCTTAGAAACCTTACGCGCGGTCGCTATGAATCAGAACCAACTTAGTAGCACTGAACAACAACGTGTGTCTTATGGAGTCCCTGAGTGGTACAAACAGTTGACATGCTTGACTGCTGATCAAAAAGTTGGAGGGCCAAATCCACCCAGAGGTATCCTGGAAGAATGACAATCTGCTTTTGAAAAATCAGCTGTTGAAAACTATAGAGCATAGTTCTGTGCTGACACACACACACACATGAGTGGGAATAGACTTAATGGCAGCTGGTTTTTACTGGTGGTGGTGGTTTGTGCCGTGGAGTCAGTTCCGACTCACAGCGACCCTGTACAGGGTTTCTGAGGCTGTAAATCTTTACAGGAGCAGAAAGCCTCATCTTCCTCCCACAAACAGCTGGTAGTTTCAAACTGCTGACCTTGCGGTTCGCAGCCTGATTCGTAACCACTACGCTAGATGATCTTAATACTGTGTAGGTGCTGGCAAGTGTGAGATTGTAATAAAACGTTGGCCATGCCATCTCAGAAGCAGTTACTCAATTTGAGGCTCTATACAGCAGGAAACTTGGCTGGGAAGGTTTCTCAGAAAAGTGGTCTGTGTTCTCAAGAAATTTTCAGGCAAAAGGTGGGATGATACCCTGTACACAGAGGCAGAAAGAAAAGAGATTTGGTAAGGAGGAACAGTGAGTGCAAAGGCCTGTTGTTCTAAGGACCATGTGAGGAGAGCAACCAAAAGACTTCCAGAGGTTCTGGGCAGAGAGTAGTGTGAGGTGAATCCAGAGAGGTACAACAGAGAGGGCAAGCTTCTTCTGGAAAGGGCTGGATAGTAAGTATCTTAGGCTTTAAGGTCATAAAGGAAAGTGGACTTCCACTTCAGCCTTTTCCATAAATTAGTTAATCCATTCGTGCGACCGATGTGTGTTTACTGCTACACTGAGCTGGATGGGTGAATTGCAGTGGCTCTGTAGGATAAACCTGTACAAACTTTTACTGAATTAAATTTAAAAAATATATATGTTTTGGTAATACAGGTCTGTTAATAGGAAGAATGTATTATTGGGGAGAATATGTTTTAGTTAATTAATGTATTCCATTTCTAAAATTGATTACACATATTTATCATTTAATGCTGCTCCAAAGTGATCTTTATTTCATCGTTGAAAATGTGTTTTTATGCAGCTAGGTGTTTCCAAACACAAATGTCAGTCCAGCCCACAGCCGTATAGTTTTCATTGACCATATGCATCATTTGATAAGCGTTTATACTTTTTTTTGAGATTTTTCTCCTAATATTTTCCTTTTATCGGTCATTCCTTTGTAAATTAATCATTTCCAATTGAAAGCGAGATGGTCCTCCTCAGTTGTACGGTTAAATGGATTTGAAAAGAAAATTTCTGATGTACTTGTATCAACATCCAAGAAATATTGTTGGAGCTGTATTTAAACTTGGAAAACATGCTTACTGTATGTTTATATGGAATGATGATATAACTTCGTGTTTTAACTTTGATCCACTGGTGATTCAAACAGTCCTTAGTGTCATTGCAGTGAATTGTATTAGTCTTGATTATAAATGTAGTTTTACTTTTTTAATCTCAGGTTGAATTTATTAAGAAACATTATCAAGTTGGTAGCCAAACGTAATGTCCAAAAGCATTAAGCGGTCAGCTCTCATTATTGAGAAGATGCTCTGGTAGCGTAGTGGTTACGAATTGGGCTGCGAACCTCAGGGTCAACAGTTCGAAACTACCAGCTGTTCCATGGGAGAAAGATGAGGCTTTCTGCTCCCGTAAAGAATTACAGCCTCAGAAACCCTGTACAGGGTCGCTATGAGTTGGAACTGACCCCACCGCACATAACAACAACAATATCATTATTGAGAGCTGTTCTTGTTTAGAAAAATTTCATTCTCAGTTCTGTGGTAAAAACTTAGATTAAAACGGTACGGCTACTAATCCCTCTTGATTTGTGCTTGTTCTTAAGTGCCATTGAGTAAGTTCTGACTCATAGCGACTCTATATATGGTTCCAGGACTGTAAATCTTGTTGGGCTTGCGCCACCAACCTTGTGCAGATCTACCATACTCCCCGCCCTCTAATCTTGATTTATGGTAGGACAATCAGGGTATTCAGCTTCTATTTCTGACCAAGACACAAGTCACAAAATGGATGATGGTCAAGTCATTATAGCGGATTCATTTCATAGTTGACCCTGTTGATACAATAGTGCCTGATAGTTCCAGAAAGTTCATACAACGTACCTGTTTTGCGTGTAACAAAGACCTAACGACATTAGTTGAACTAAGACGATGCTTTTCTTTGCAGGATGGTACCCGGGTAGTAGGGAAATGCGGTGGTTACTGTGGAAAATGCACTCCATCCTCCGGCACTGGCCTGGAGGTGCGAGTTTTATAGCTTAAGGTAAGTCTGTCACTTCTGTCTGTACCTCATTCTGTCTCACATTCTGTTTTCTAATGGTTAGGCAAATATGGGTGGGTCAGTTTACCCCAGAAAGGATTACTGTGCAGCATCTTTTTTATTTTGTTTTTTTGTGTTTAACATATGGAAATTTATTTTCTCACAGTTTAGAAGGCTTGGTTGGTTCGTTATGTGCCATGGAGTCGGTTCCGACTCATAGCGACCTGGTATAGGGTTTCCGAAGCTATCAATCTTTACAGGAGCAGAAAGCCTCATCTTTCTCCTGCCAAACGGTTGGTAGTTTCAAACCACTGATCTTGAGATTACCACCCTGACTCATAACCACTGCGCTATCAGAGCACAAACTCAGCGCACTAACTCTCCAGGAAGGCTTTCTGTCTGTGTCAGATTTGGGAAAGGTCCTTGTCCCCTTTCAGCATCTATAGGCCCAGCATTCCTTGGAATTCCCCATGTGTTATGGCATTAATCTTCTCCTTGTTCTAGGAGCTTCACAGTGCAGAGACCCCGGGTCTTTTGGACATGCTCCACTCCTATCTTTTCTTTTTAGGTGGTACTAGGTCCCTCCACTGTGAGCACCTTGAAGCTGGCCCAGTTCTCCCATACTTTTTTCTCTCCTGTTCATCTGCAGCTCTCTGTTCACACTGTGCTTTGTTTGGGGTGAGCTCCTAGTCCTTACATCTGATTCCTCTGCAGAACTGATTAACACACTGCTCACTAGGCTCCATCCCCAGAAAAGCTACTGCATCGTGTCTCTGTGGACCCAGAGATCTGTAATCTTACCAGCCTCCCAAGGGAGTTTCATGGCACATGACTCACAGAGTATCCTTTAAAACACACTTCCCAGGAGTCTCGCTATTATAACGATTATAGTAAAGGCATCTGTGTCAGAGCCCTTGGGTGGTGCAGTCAACTGGCTTGGCTGACCAAAAGGTTGGTGGTTTAAATTTACCCAGTGGCACGTTGGGAGACAGTCCTGATGATTTTTTCTGAGAAATCAGCACATTGAAAACCCCGTGGAGCACAGTTGTATTCTGACACACATGGGTCAACGTGAGTGGGAGTTGACACAATGACAGCTGGGCTTCTCTGCCCCATCCATCATATGACAGGCAGATAACACACCAAGTACTTTATGGGCATATTGCATTGAATCATCACAACAAAACCACCAGGTGGTGCTGTTATCATGCACGTTTCACAATTGGGCCTAAGTGAAAGTAAATTCCTTTGGCAGAGCCCAGGAGTGCCCTAAATCAAAGCCAGTGCCCCTGCTCAGTCATTAGAAGAAAATATACTAATCATGTGGGAGCAGTTATCTCAAAGGAGGGGAGGGGGGCTTCTGATGTTTTTCTTTTTCTTTTTTTTTAACTTTTATTGTAAACTGAGTGATAGTTTACAGGGCAGGTCATCAGTTTTGCATGCAACCAATCATATTTGGTTTCATTGCAATGATTACAATTCCTTCCATGCATCATCATTTTAAACAGTATTTACCTCTATTCCTTTTTTTTTTTTTTTTTTTGATGTACACACACATATAGAAAATATATATTCGTTTAAACTACCAAAGGGCTTGTTTTGTAAGCCAGCCTCCTGCCCACTAGCACACAGCCTTTCTCATTCCATGGGTCTAGAGTCCTCACCTGTTCTCTCTCTATATGGCATCACGTCCTCTTCCATCTCTGGTGTCCGCTGCTTCTCTGGTTAGGATCCCATACTTCACTCATGTTCTTCCCTCTGCTATTGTTGTTGTGAAGTGCCATTGAGTCGGTTCTGACCCACAGTGACCCTGTATAGGGTTTCTGAGGAGTGACTGGTGAGCTTGAACCACCGACTTTGCTCTTCCCTCTAAATGGTCCTAAATGTCTCTGTTCCTGGAATGTAAGATTAACTACTCACCCCTTTTTGTTTCACACCTTCTACCTTTACAGTTGTGGCAATTGCAATTAATCATGATAACAATTACTTACTATTGAATCAAAAGAGTCCTATCCCCATTTGCTTTCACCAGATTCATCTAGACAAGAGGAAAACTATTCCCTAACCCCCTTGCTATAAGGAGCTCTGGTGGCGTAGTAGTTATGAATTGGGCTGCAAACCTTAAGGTCAGCGGTTCGAAACTACCAGCTGCTCCACGGGAGAAAGATGAGGCTTTCTACTCCCGTAAGGATTTACATCCTTGGAAACCCCATACAGGGTCGCTATGGGTCGGAACCAACTCGACGGCACTTAACAACAACAACAACAAAAACCCACTTGCTATGAAACTAAGCATAGTCTTGAAAACTTATAAGCCAGCCACTTTATGCCTTTATTTTATTTTTCTTGTTAAGCATTATTGAGTCAATTCTGACCCATACCCACCCAGTAGAGGGTTTCTGAGGAGCAACTGGTGAGCTTTAATCACTGACATTGCAATTTAAACCAACTTTGAAGTCCAGCGCATTAACCCATAGCACCACACCAGGACTCCATTTTTTGTTAGCCAACTGAAACATTTTTCTATTCCTTATGTTTTATTTCATGGTTTTTAAAGAATAATATTTTTTGTACTTCCCTGAATTTCCCGTTTATTAATAAAACACAAGTTCTAAATTCTTTACAGTACAATGTATGCTAGACCAACCCTTGATTTAAGGCATCTAAGGCAAAGGTTTTTATTTCCTGAATCTTGTTTTTAATTTTCAGGTGCTCTGAAGAGGAAGCCATTATGGGATGGATGAAGGATAGTAATGCAATACCTCCACCTTAAATTTGGGTGCATGTGTGTGTGTGTGAGGACTTGTACGTGTGTGTGTATGTGTGTGTGTGCACACGCACACACGTTCCTGTGTAAATATGCATATAGATACATATGTACACACACACACATATATATATCACCTGTATATATGTGTGTGTATATATGTATGGAATATCCTAATGATGTAAAGTTTAATATTTATGTTTGAAATTATTTATTGTGATGTAATATTTTTGTACGTAAAGTGACCCTATTGTGACTGCCTTTGCGTTCTTTTGTCCCGTGCAGTCAGTCCACTGCATTTTACGTACTCTACATTATATGTAGTACTATGACGAAAGTGATCCTTCATTATCACGGTACACTAGTGTTTACTTTCTATCTGTAAATGTTTCATTGTTACTTTTTATAAAACATTTTGTAATTTGTTTTGTTTGTATTTTTAACAACAACAACAACAAAAAAAAACCCAGCCTAGCCGCCATCAAGGTGCTACAAGACTTGAGAGTTATATAAGGGTGTTTTTGGCCTTTCTAGGAAAGTATCATTAGCCGATAAGTAATTTAGTGATATCACGGATTGTACCAACTATTAATTACATTAAGTATTTAGTCTCATGTGATCTCTGGGAAAAATTGCTGACTTGGTGCTAATATATGATTTTAAGTGATCTTCATACTTAGAAATGTAAACACTTTTAATAAAAGGGAGAAATGGAAGGACCATCTCCAATGGATAGACTCACTTGGATGAAACAAGACCCTTATTTTGGGACAAACTCTTCCGGAAAGAAGTTGGACTTTGTTCTTGGTGATCATCATATGCTTTACTTCATTCAATTCATGGTGCTTTGGTCTCCCTGCGGGTAAGTGGAGAGTCCTCCAAGCAGCTCCGTTACAGAGAGACATTGGGAAAGAGATTCCTCACACCATTTTGCCAAGATAATCTAAAACAGTGTCCCAGCTTACCAGGAGAAGACAGAGGATGCACAAGCTGGGGGCCCTTCAGCACTCCAGCACACTTGAGTTCACAACCAGGTCCCAGTCCTCAGAATGGCCTTTTGCAGTAGCCAGCGATGTGGCATCTCATCAGATCATAAGCCTGAGACCCAGTCAGTATCTGTAGCTGATGTCATAATTGGTGCCTTTGAGAAGAAATGAACTATGGAGTACAAGATACCAGTGTCTCTCTCATCTTCCATGGATCCAAACTCTGTAACTTATTTTCACAATGGAAGTGCCAAAACCATGTTGGTTTTGCCCTTCCAGATGGACTGAAGGAAAGTCACCACCAGAGGCCCACAGAAGATGCTTGGTTTGAGAAACTCTGCCCATTTGCAAAAACCAAAGAATGAGGAACACCTGGCAGTATTCTCTAACCACCAATAAACTCCAGAGTGCTCCAAGAAAAGTTATATGCAGTGTATGAATAAATGTTATTCTCAATATTAATGCATTGTGAAATATGTAATGAATAAATACCATGACCACATCCACACATTTGTATTTCACATGGTTTCTGGACTCTTATTTGAGGTGGAATGAAATGTCTCTAGTTTTAAAAATTGTTAGTGTGGGTCAGAATGTAGCTTTTCTTTATTTTATTTATAGAAGCTGCTGTAGCGGCAGATATGATGTCGGACTCTCCCCAAGGTTGGTCTTTTTCATCACCTAAACCAGTTGGAGTGGTTTTTCTGGAACTATTGTTTTGTTGTTAAGTGCCATTGAGTCAGTTCAGAATTATATAGTAACCCTTTATAGAGTTTCTAAGAAGCAGTTGGTGGATTTGAACAGCCTACTTTGTGCTTTGCAGTTCAGGGCTGATACTGCAGCACCACACTGGAACTTGTTGTTGTTATGTGCCGTGGAGTCGGTTCCGACTCATAGCGACCCTGCACAGGGTTTGCGAGGCTGTAAATCTTTACAGGAGCAGAATGCCTCTTCTTTCTCCCATGAACAGCTGGTAGTTTCGAACTTCTGACCTTGCAGTTCTCAGCCCAATTCGTAACCACTACGCTACCAGAGCTCATGAAACTCTTGTCTGTGTGACAGGAAACTAATGACCAAACAAACAGGAGAGTTAATTAAGTGGAATCTTTGGACTTTATTATTAATTTCATGTGTCAGTAGTTTCTACCCTGTGGACTGATGGTGTCATGGGAAATTAGTTTTCCAAACAACTCAAAGATAAACGAGGACCGGTATCAGTTACTGTTGTGTCCATTGTGGCTCGTGGTGACCCTATATGCTACAGAGTAGAACTCCATAGGGTTTTATTGGCTACCATTTTATGGAATCAGATGAGCAAGCCTTTCTTTCAGTTATAGGCTTGCCTGAGTCTCATTAGAGCACCTTCAAAAACAGTCTCAGTCAAAACGTTAACTTCCAAGAGGATCTACTGGGTCAGTTCCATTCCAGGGAGACAGGTCAGAAGGCTCCAAAGAGTATGTTGTTGTTGTTGTTAAGTGCCGTCAAGTTGATTCCAGCCTGTAGCAACCCTGTTTAGGGTTTCCAAGGAGTTTGAAGGACCAATCTTGCAGTTCAAATGACTTTGCAGCCTGACGCATTAGCCCACAGAACCACTCAAAGATTATGGTAACTTTTTTGTGATTTCAAACAGGTAATCTTGATAGATTTTTCTCAATGGATACAGGATGGTCACAGGGCATTTATTTGAGAAAATGAAAAACTGGTGTGTAAAATGAAAGGCCAGAAAAATTGTGCCAAGGAACATTTTCCCACCATAACACTGCATCTTCCTATTCTCCAAGGTTAGTAAGTCAGAGCTATCCTAGGAGAATTTGGGGAACCTTACTTCATTCACCCTACAACTCTGATCTTGCCCCTTCAAACTTTTTTGCTCCCAAACTCAAAGAACGTTGAAAATGAGCACAATTTGAGTCTCTCCAAAATGCCAGAACTGTCATTTGGACATAGTATCAAGCTAAGCATCACAGAATTTGGGGGGCAAAGGTTAAAGAGATGAAGGCACCACATTCAGAAGTCTATGCAAATTTTGAGAAATAGCTTCACATTTTGATATTTTTGCTTAATAAGGTTTCAGTGATTTGTAGCAATTCTTTTTTATACCTTTGTATGTCTGTGAGATCAAGTTAGTTGGTGGTGGTTTAGATTTTCTGTTTACTTTGTGGAGTTTCTAGCTGTTCTGTCCTTCATCAAAAGTGGTATGTTTAAGTTTCCTACTATCATTGTGGAGTTCTCTGTTTTTCTTTTTGATTCTTAAAAGAACGTTTAAAAATCTTTAAAAAACTTAAAAGTTTATTTTATGTCTTTTGGGGCTCTTTCAGTGGGTGCATATTTATGGTTATGCCTTCTTGTTGGATTGACCCTTTAATCATTATATAATGCACTTCCTGTCTCGTATGCTGGGTTTTGCCTTAAAGTCTATTTTGTCAGAAATCAAATTACCACTCCTGTTCTTTTTAGTTTGGTGATTGCTTGATACCATTTTCCATCTTTTGATTGTTAACTTACATTTATCTTTGTGTCTTACAGACATCATATGGATGGGTCATGTTTTCTTCTCCATTCTGCCACATTCTCCCTTGACTGCTGTGTTTAGTTCGTTTACAGTCAATGTAATTATCAAGAGAGAAGAATTTACTGCTGTCATTTTGTTCTTTTTTACTGGTGCTAATGAGTTCTTTATTCCACGTACTTTTTCTTTGCTGAGTTCATTTGTTCATGGATTTCCTTTTCATTTCCTTCATTGTTGTTGTTTTTGTATTTACTTAGACTTTATGATTTTCTTCCTCTTTTTTTTTTTTTTTAGTCATGTTGTTGTTGTTGTTATGTGCCGTGGAGTCGGTGCTGACTCATAGCGACCCTGTACAGGGTTTCCGAGGCTGTAAATCATTACAGGAGCAGAAAGCCTCATCTTTCTCCTGAGAAACAGCTGGTAGTTTCGAACTGCTGACCTTGCGGTTCGCAGCCGATTCGTAACCACTACGCATAACACTTATTAATTCTCTTTGTGGTTTCCCTGAAATTCATTTCTATCTCCCTAAGTTTGAAAGCATTGGACTGATAATCACAAGGTCAACAGTTCAGATCCACAACTGCTTCACGGGGTAAGAATAAGGCTTTTGGCTCCTTCAAGATTCCCAGTCTTGGCAGATGGGCTGTTACTACAAGAACAAACAAATTGCTTCCCTAGAAAACATCAAGGCAAGTGGCCAGGTCCTCTCAACGCAAAACCCCTTCCAGATTGAGACTCAACGGAAATACACACTCTGATTGGTGACCACACACCTCACCAATGGGGAGAAGTGGGGTAAAAGCAGCAATGAAGTGGCAAGCTAAGCCCTACGGTGTTCAGTGGACTTCTTTGGACCCAGTTGGGGACCTGGTTGGCAAGCAGTGTGAAGAGGCCTGGGGACTCTTGGGCCCAGAGTCAGTGGCGTGGCCACGGAGGACTCGAAGAGGAGAGTGGAGCTACCAGCTCACGGGAAGAGAGGACATATGCACAGGAGCGCCCACACTTGCAGATGATACCCACGTGACCTGGACCGGATGACTGAATGATAGGAGATCAACCAGGAGAGGAAAGAAGAGGGGAAAAAGAAGAAGAAGAAAAAAAAGTGAGCTGATAAGGTCTGATGAACTTGACCTATACCTATGGAACAGCGACTCAAAAGAGGGAACAAATCCTCACAGCAAGAAACATTCACACATACCCCACACACACAGAGTGGACAGAAAAGGGCAGCTTGGACATAGGATACCCAAATGGGGAGGGGGGAACTACTAAGGCAAGAAGTGACTGGCTTACAAGCTTTCAAGAGGGAACCAGGTGCTAGGGAGCATGGCGGAAAGCAGAATCTCCAGTAGGTACTATTCAATCTGTCTGGGCGGAGCTGATGAAAGGAGATACAGATGGGTAACTCGTGATACTGTAGTGAATAATGCTTATCAGGATGGATTATGGGGGTTGGAAATGCAAGGGTGGAAGTTTTGTATCAAGGAAGGGAGTAATTAATTCTCCAGGATAGGAGCAGAGGCCTCTGGGACCATCAATGGAGAAGAGCTAAGAGCGGGACCCTACCCAGAGAAACAGAGATGCCTGAGATAGAGACAGTGATGATGACGTG